GAGTATCTCGTCAAATATAAATGATACAAAAAAATATTTTGAACAAGAGTCGTATACCTTCAACGAGGGACATCATCTAGAGATGTCCTAAACATAGACAAACTTCAAGAATTTTAAGTTAAGAAAACTTCTGATTTTCCGCGTGTAACTGTGATCTTCTGCCTTAGATTTGCATTTTTTCTAAACCAAAATGTTACAAAATGACACAGTTATTTTCTAGCTTCGGAATGCCTTTTCGTAAAACATCCATTATTGGCTACGATTGCAAACTGAAACATCCAAAGACAAAATTTTTTGTGAATTTATAAATAAAAACATATTATTTAAAATATCGCGATAAATTGACGAGTTCCGTAAACCTAGTGTCAAGCAGTGAGATATCTCGTCAAAAATGCCAAACGGTCAACATCGTGTCACATGGAATCTTGTCCAAGACTGCTAAGGGGTTAAGAGGAATATATAGTGGTTGTGTTTGTTTGATCTTATGATAACCTTGACAAACTCTGTCAAAGTCACGTTTAAGATCTTAAATAGGAATATGTACTTTTAATTATATATTCTTGTATCTGACATCGAGTTTTAAGGCTTTAACTCTACAAATATAGCGGTGTAATACAACTCTGGGTTGATGTTTTGTTTCAATGTCTTTACTTTAATATTCTCAAATTTCATAACAATATAAAATATATAAGTGTTACAACCGAATATTCAAGCGTATCACTATCAATATCAATACAGTCCGCGTCAGGTAGTACCGTTCGCAAGAAGTTAAACTACATGAAACAAAAATGTTACCAATTGACTTCTGTAAAGTTACCATATAAAGTTGTATAAAATCCAATTGAGGTATTTTCTCATGGCGTATTTACGTACATCGGATAACGATAATGCCAGCAGCATATCAAATTTAAAAATTCATATCGTGATGATAATTTACGCGAACATCACAAGTATACAGTGTTTTGAAGATATCTCTGTCAGCTACTCTAGAATATGTCATCAAAAGTATACATTTCAAATTAACCTCTTGCTACGCCATTTAGCAGCGCAAAATCCGGACTATAAATATGGCGACCGATATCTCACTTGTGTTGTGACCTTGAGTCAAACTGGTGATATCCACGATTGGTTCAAAATTTTTATCACGAGTCAGACTCGGGAAGGGGTGAAAAACTTTAAATTTGACAGGGCTTCGCAAGGTTACTACAAGATCAAACAAATATTATCATTGTATGATACCACTGTACTTTTATTTCAAACATTTTCTCGTATTACTCGTATTCTCCAAAATATTTGGGTGTTCCCGAATAAACTGAGTATATTAGATGTTAATCTGACTGGTTGGTTTATTTCGTATGAAAGATACTTCGAGAACGTAAGATACGATGTATTTATTCGCGAGCACTGTATTTTATTGTTGAGTACGTAAATAGGGAGTAAAGCATGTAAATTTCTGCTTTCCGTAATAATATAATTACAGTATAATTGAAGTTGTGAATTATGTTACGATACTAAGTAATCATGTCATGTTGCTATGTTAAGTAATCATAATACAAAGTTTTGTATACATTTCATTTTGTCGGAACCATTTGAGTAGAAACAGTGTAATTTTTAAAATATGTATAATAATATTGTTTATACGTGTACACTACTAGTCAAACCTGTAAGTTGAAACATTTTACTGAAACCAAACCATAAATAATTCTTACAGTACTCTGAAATCTATGTTATATCTTTTTATAATAATATCACTTTTTTTTAGTAATTGCCAATTTTAACATTATACTTTTGAACAGTAGTGTATATGTATATACGTATACGGTGTCTCTATGCTTGAAGATAAGAAATAAATATCTCTTAAAGTATTGAAGTTACGAAAAGAAATTTTAATAACATTCACATGATGCGGAAACGTACACTTTTTGGCGGTGATGATTCTTTTTTACATAATTGTATATAATGACGGGAGAGCTCTAAAACACTGAGAATTTGGAGCATACGTTAAAACATCTTGCGATTCAAACCTGCGTCAACTCGCCGGTCACATGATACATGTTGCAATAGGTTCGCATTATAAAAGCGGCGTAGACTTTCTCAACAATGTTCACATCGACGCTATTTCACTGACATATTTTCACAGACAATATACGTTCCCCGACATTCCATTCTTACCGACATAAATACACGGTGTCGAAACGAAATGTTACTATACTTCGTTAGGTGGGAATTATTTTATTTTACAAAAAGAAACACACAGTTCGTTATAACAGATCAAAATGGGATAACATATTTATATCGCGATTCAATCTTGAAAACTTGAGCGCCATAATTGTTGAACACTCTGTATGTACAAAGAAAAATGTCTTGACTGACTAACTGACTGACTGATTGATTGACTGATTGATTCATCAATGCCGAACTGAAACCACTGAAACTAAAAACATGCAGTTTGGACAGTAGGTTCTTTCGTGATTTACAAACTTACCTTAAAAACGATTTTTCGAAATGTAACCCTTAAAGGGGTGAAAGGGGGTGTCAAAGTTTGTATGAAAAAATTATTTCACGATCCCATTTACTTGAAACTTGGTATAAATACTTTACAAAACAAATAATTCAACACGTGTTTCATCCGTTCTAACATTGTATATAGAGATTATAGACTATTCTATTTACAAAATGTGTTATTAATAATATTAACTATACATTTTAATTGTATATACACGTACATTATTTTTAAATAAACGCTGTTACTAAAAAAAAGTTGATTCTTTCAAAGTTTGAAAATGTGTAAATATTTCAAATACGTTAATGAACTGAGCACCGCAGTAGATTGAAGTATTTTTTTCGTACCTTCATTATCTTAAAAGATACCCATTGGTTATCTTTCAGCATGGGCACAGTGTATAAGTACACTTAGTTTATTACCATGCAAACATCAATATTTCTTAACAAAATAGAAGAGAACCTGTTTCCACTTACTTTTGTGTAATTTGCTCTGCTTATGTAACAAATACGTTGTTACGTAGTAATTTCATTAAGTAACTGTCACGTTCTTATATTAGAAAAAAGAAATACATAAAGATAAGGTACAAGATAAATTATCTTTAATGGCACTGAGAAATTGCTTGTAAAATGAAATAGTAATAAGTATATGGTATTTTTAACGTCACGCGAGATATTGCATAATCTGATATAGAAAATCTAAGGAACCACATTCAAATGTTTAAAATGAGAAGTGACAGTTACAATTGTAACATGCATTTGTTCTTGATGCGTGAAAAAGAGCATTTCGATTGGAAGACTTTGTTTCGAGCGTGTTTAAGGGACAATACACGTGTATTAACTTGATCGTATTTTGATCCGTGTAATTTTCGTAATAGTGGACAGGTCATTGTGTTGAGGGATTTACATTTTACATATAACTATTTATTTAAGTACGCAGGTATTTACGTATTCGTATTTTAAGGCGTGTAAATTTTAGTAAACGAATACCCATGTATTCAATTATGTTTATTAAAGTAATACAGATACAACTATTTATAGATGCAAATTTGCATATGTTTGAGGAACAAACACTACGATGTTTACTAATTAGAATGGATATAAATTCTGATCTGACATTATTTTTGTTGACGATATTTAATAAATTAACACTAAACATACTGTGATGATCGGTTTCAAAATTTAATTTAATTAATGTCAATATCTACGACAGACTTTCATATTAAATAATAAACATGAAATTTTCATGAAAAAACAGGTTTCTTGTCTTTATACAGCCGCCATTTTGTTCAAACGCACTTTGTACGCGCCATGTTAGTACGGATGATAACTATATTCATATAGTACATGATTATTTTCTACTTGTATCTTTTAAATGAATACTACAAACTAAATTTTGTCAAACAAATAAAATGGAACATTACATTTAATAAACTTCTGTTAGCATGCATAAAAATTACAAAAAAATTTTACTATTTGCTTTTAAAATGTAAATATCCATGCAAACAGTAAAATTCCGAGTTTTCAACTTTATTGTCTTTTAATTTAATCGTAATTTAAAAATCGCTGTAAAATGAACACTAACTGGTTTTGAAAGTCTCACTGTTCCTGCATTTATTTAAACAAGCATATGTGAATACACTGATATCCGTGTACGATATATTATGTAAATTACAGTACGTATATGGTAATATACATGCGTTCACTAATTTAAGTGTACGTAAAATAGAGATTCCAAGCGTACACTGCTATCCAAAAGCCGAAAATTACATGGATTAAAGCAGGGTTGTCCAACCTTTTAGCTTACCTACGCCTCATTGCAAGAAGATAGGTTGTTATGGTCCGCGCATAAATTAATCTTCATCAGGCCCTATGATCTCTTCCGACCCAAATCGATCATTTATGCTGTGATTTTTTTAAAGGGGCGGATGAAGGTTAATAGCATGTCTAACTGGTATTTGTAGCATTGTTAATGAGTCTTTCAGTCTCGATCTCATAAAGTTTATAAGGTTATGATTCTTTATTTGTCCACCGGTTGGGCAAGCCTGAATTAAAGCGAAAATTTCACGTACACGTGTATCTTTAGTACCCGTTCAACAGCATAAAATTTCATTTCCGCGTAAGAAGTAATGTTACTATTGCGAAATCGTGAAAATCTGATGATTCTCGCGCAGTATTATTTCTTATTGTTTATTAAACGAACGAAACGAAAGACTGTCGATGAAGACTGTTGCTTTCTATAAATTTCCCTTGAATCGGATCCAATGAATTACACATTGGGTACAATATGGACGATTATGTTTGATTTTTCTCATGAACTTCTGATTGCCGAATTACGAAACCCTTGAGAATTCCATATGTCCATTTTCTATTCCTCTACCAAATTGTTTAATGATCGTCTGTATTCAGATTGGTGAGTCTTATGAATTTTGTTAATGAAATGTATGAGAGCAATCGGGAGATAGGGCAAAAGAGAGGTGACATGTGTCTGTTGCCAGGCTGAGCATGGAGGTGTCGTGTCGCAGATGGCAGACCCCAGCCGTGAGGAAGAACAAGTCACTCTCTTGGGTGAAGAGGGCCTCCGCGCTGGCGGCCAGGCTCTCAAGCTCGGGTAATTAAATGCGGTGTAAATTCAATTAATATAGGACATAACGATTTAAATGTTTTTCTATTGAAATTTCCACTGGTTGCATGGAAAATCATGGAACCTGTGAAAATACGGAACTGCATTATAGTAGTCTTACCCTATAGCTGTTGAAATTTTTCTGTTAATATCCTAGCGGATAATTTCCATTTAATACGTCGCAATCAATAATTCACAATATTTGGAATGTATTCAAACGAAGAATTGAATATATTACAGCGAATCATCCGATTTCAGAAAATCCTTATGTCCTATGTTTTAAACACCAAGCGCTGCTAATCATTGTATTCCACGAATATTTCATAAATTTACTTTGAAAAGTTTTGGCTAATTTAATTAATTGTTCTCCACTCTACTATGGGTATTGGCTCAGATAATAAAGATGAAGAGTTATATGATAATGAGATATTATGGACGTATTGTTATATACATATATATTCAATGAAATGTTAGGGTGTGTTCAGACATTGTAGAGCTTATGATATTTTTCTGTGTAATTAGGATATGCACACGAATATAGATTAAGTAGAGGGCACAATACGTCAGTGTGTTCTGTGGTTACAGCACCTGTATACTACGGCAGACACCATAGGATCACACTATAGGAATCCCCTCAGGCAAGCTGTTATCAACCGTTATTTGCATTTGCAAAACTGTTTGATCTATGTTTATGCCAGTAGCTACCTAGCAGAGTCCTTTAGTCATAAAAGGAACACTAATATCATAGTCACTAAACAATTGAAGTTTTCTTACACTTATTAATTCCTTTAAACAGAAGAATGTTTATGATATTAACAATGAACAAACGTTGACTATCAGATACAATCTTAAGATGTGTTTTATAACAAAATGTCATATATTTATATACATATACTTTTTTTTTCAATTGCCATGTTTTCGTTTCACGTGTTTAAACAGTTTTATCTATCGATATATACTGAATTGAATTATTAATAATATGTGTAATATGTACATGTATATATAATTAGCAATATTATGACTAATAGTAATATATACATACACGAATATATACATCGAATATGCTATAACAATAATTTTTTAATTTATTACCACATAGGTATTTATTTTGTTACAAGATTGATTATTAATTTATTAATAACGATCGATGTAGTTGTGTTCTTATAAATCAATCTTTTCTGATGTAATTAAGTTAGGTGCAGTCATTAAATGCATAAGTGATACTGCACAAAGTGAATTGCAGAGTTATAACCAGCCTCGCAGATGTTCTTCCGACAGTCTGTATTTGTTTAAAAGAACGTGAAGACATTAATATTAGATTATCCAAATGTATGGTGTTTCAGATGTTTCATTCGATAAAGTGCTTAGCAAATAAAATACATATTTCAATAAACCTCGAAGAAAGTAATCTTAAAACTAGATTGCGAGTGTTTACGTGTTTACAGTGTTTGAATATATAAAACTGAATAATAAATAGTTCTCCTAAAGGTTAATACAATCTTCAGGTTATTTGTAATTTAATGTTGAAATTATTAATTATTTGCTTAATTTATGTTTTTGTCAAGAATCGATTTGGAGATTAACAGTTCATTTATAAGATAATCATTGTTAATACTAAAAATAGATATTTAAATAGATATATTTAAATCATTTAACGTAAGAGTATTTCTACTAACGTATTCACTTTGATCTGTGTTCAAAATTAGAAATTATTTAATTTCACTGTGTGTTCATATTTTGAGTTCCTTAAGTTTTCAATAATGTTCTTGTATATCATTTGTAATAATAACGCTCGTATTACGTATATTTCAAACAAATGTACCATCGTAGTAAAAAATAAGCGATGAAAAAAATTATGAAGAATAATAATTGGAAAAATAATTTGAAATTTTGAAAATTTGAAAAAAATAAATAAATAATAGAGAAATTAATTTTGATAACGATACAACTACAAATGAGAACAATTATAGAACAATATACAACGTTTAATTGTATGAAATTATTAATTATTCTCAGTGTTCATATTGTCAGAATTATCACATTAAAAATAGAATTCTATTTTGATTTCGTTCATGTAGGTGATTCTTACATTGTAAATACTACTTTAGCCATTCACAATTAAACAGTAACGTTTAATCAATCTATTCCATAATTCGAAGAATATTAATTTCGTCACGTTTTTTCCTCGGAAACTTACTGACTGTAATTAATAGTTGTGAGACTACGAATACTTTTGTGACTTATTATTCAGTGCTTATATAGTGGCAGTGAAAGGCAATTGTCATACAAACATTACTGCTTAATCAACGTTAAATGTACTCGAAGGACAAATATAAATGTTTGCTTGATTAAATAACATTCATTTAACAATTGTTTTAGAAGTTTCCAACGGTAAATATGACAAATTATTGTTAAGCCAAAAGTCTGAAATAAAATATACAGTATATAACAGTTGATACAGTTTGATATCGCCCACATAACATGTTTCAATTCATTAAGAATTAAGCCTTTCAAACTGTATCGAATACTTGAGGTACAATATAATACTCAAGCAAGGTATATAAATTGAGGTATCTCGTCGTTTATATACTTATTGACAACAATTTTATTATTTTACAAAAAAATCGTTATGTAGCAATTTTTTTCTGTAAATAACAAAAATGATGATGGTCTGGCCATGGGTATGTATAATAATACACGTATTTTGTTTAACATGTTTTGTAGTGAGCTTCTTTTGCATGCTTCACACTAATCATTAAAAAAAAAGAAGAAAAATGATTATTTATTTAGTGAAACGTTGCACTCACAATTATTGGCATTGTATAATGTGCAGTAGACGTTTTCGTATTAGTCGAAAAGGAAAAGTCGATATGTTTGTGTTGCTATTTTATGCTTGCCTTTTACATTATGCTTTGCGCAACAATGTTTTCCATCTCTTCCGTATTATTCAAAGAAGGTCACGTAAAATGTATCGCTGGATTTTTACAGATACGCAAATACAGACGAAGAAAATAGTGTAGTAGAATGAAATGTAATACAGATAAATAATTGTTGGTTTTACAGAGGTGGCCCATTTTTTTCTATAGATGGATTTCTCTCAGAAAACACATATGTGACTAAGCACCATATGAAATTTGTTTCTTATAATTTCGAAGGTTTCGAAGAGTAGAAGGAAATTATGAAATTAATATCGAATACTATTCGTCATCATACTTTTTAATACAGTAGCATGTATCACACTATCAACTAAGGGATCTACTTATCATTCTATCATTCATACAGTCATGTCTCGTAATTAGGCGATGATTCGGAATTCATGATTTTATTTAAATTTCTTAGAAATTTGTTCAATAATTCAAAGTTTTATTTTTGTTATTTACTGGTAAACGAAACAAACAATGGTATTAGACAATGAACATAGTAGACATTACTATGTTACCGAAAAATTTCAGTTTCGTTTAAAATATTCAAATCTCTTTGAAATTTTTCTCTGCAAGTAAAAACACCGTGCAACGTCCTTCTTCAAATAATGAAAATTCTATCATGCTATTTTACATCGACTTTACTCCTGCAAAGTAAATCTATTCGTAGATTAAAATGATTCACCCTTTCACATAAGTGTATCATACGAACTTCTAATCAACTTTTAATTAAGTATTTAGACGTAACAGGTATAATTTCCCACGAGTTGATTTTTCAGATAATCTATTAAATACGATTTGACGCGCTTATAACACTCTTGTATTTCTTCTCTTCTAGAAATAGACAAATATTTTTAATATTAACAGCTTTAATATAATGTAGTATTGTTTGGTAATCCATTATCGAAATGAAAGTTATTACTGATTACAGATATCTTTATGTGTTTACACACTTCAATATCTACGGAGATAATAATTTATTACAGGATGACGTTTTTAACATTTAGAAGTTGCCTGCTCATTTAATGAAAACATGTTTTATTCTAATAAATGATTTTTCGAAAATTATGCGACATTTTTTGATTATTTTTAATATGTATGATACATTAAATATAAACACACTGTCACAGGATAGTGAAATAAATAGGAAAAAATGTTTGTTTATCAAATATCTATACATACAGTAAGGAGTGTAAATAAACAAATAATCAGATGTTCCGTAAAAATCATTATCTAATCTTCATAAATGATAAGCAATGCAAAAAAATTAATTCTAACAATATTATTAGGAATTGTGTAGTAATGCTCGATGTATTTTTTAATACATTCGTATATCTAAGATATTTATTATTATATAATGAAAAATGTTATACTAAAAATCAGTTTAATGTTATTAGAGGACATTTTAAAATGATGCTGCTCTCTTATATTATTATTATTAAAATTATTATTCTTCTGCATAATGATTTATCAACTTACATCTTCGAAAAAACATTTTGTGAGAGTATCAATTGTAAAAGTGGAAAAATGATTAAGTAATAAAACAATAACTACAATTGGTAGATATTTAAAAATATTAAATCCAAGGATAGTTGTAGATTTCGTAAAGCATGACAAATAAACTTTGAAATGAAAGCAATATTAAAGCTATTGAAAAACATGATAGCTATGCTTCCAACGGAAAAAATATAACTTTTATGGAAAGGTAAAAGAAGTTTGCAAAAGTTTAAAAAATTTTATATTTACTGTATAACGTAAAATCCCGTGATTACCAAAAATACATTAATCACATCTTTAATTCGTTATCATTTTTGATACGATTGTAAACAAGAATCTATATATAAAGCATCGATCTTCGTTCAGATACACTCCTCATTGTACGTGCTGATTCTATGTCCCAATATCCAAACTTCAAGCAACCCATGACTCATTCACCGAGTAACTATACCCTTGCTAATCATTACCAGTTCGCATCAAAGAAATCAGTTTTGGAAAATTGAATATCGCTAAAGACATAAAAGCACTTGACGTCGATGCCCAAACTGCGAGCATCTAAAGAGGCTTTCC